TGAGGTTGACTTTACTGCGCATACCACCGACATTTTCGTAATATATCGTCAAGTAGTATGTTGGGATATCACTTCGTTGAGCCAATTGCGTAGGCCACACAAAGGGCTCGTCAGAGGGCATAACATTTTCTGGCGCATTGTGGCGGTGTTCTACGGTAGCATCTCTTGTGTCTCCTGGAACACCGGAACAACTAGCGATCACTGGCTGCAATTGCACGGCTATGACTGGGGGATCGAGGGCTGCCATAGTACCAGCACCGTTGCGTCCCAGTGCTCGGTGAACCTCGTCCGTGGGGCGTGTGATACTGTCATAGGCCGACGTCAGATCTTGATGATTCAACCGACCAGTAGACGAAAAGCTAGAATCGGGGAACCGTTCAACGGTTGAATTGTTCGTAACGTGATTATAAAGGGTTTTCCATTAAGGTGGGTCCCACGATATCTCATCACTGCTTTGACCAAATCGGATCACTTTTGGGGTGAAGACTCGTTAAACAGATCTTGTGTACATGACCAAGGCCGATTTTTACCCCGTAACGTGGGTATGATCACCTTTTCGTGGTACGTTACGGGATGTAAGATCTACCACCGATTTCTAGTCATGACTATTTCAAGCTAGGGGAAGAGGATTTTTCAGTAATCCAAGGAACACATCTTAGTCCTTGTTACTTTTTATGACTTGTTGATAGTGATGAGGCTCGGCCTTGTCCACCGAGGATGATCTTGGAACAAGGAAAACATGAGTTAGTTAGTCTTCATCTATGTGATTCCTAATCTTCTATTCGTTGTTGGTTAAGACTAGGGTTCTGATGCATGGTCATTATCGGTGTCATTCCTTAATTTTATTGCTGAGGAATCCGATTTTGACTGACAAAGGAATAGATATTGCCCACGGAATAGATTTTGTGAGTCTTCACTCCACATTTCAGCAAATTTGGTCCATCTAGTCCTGAGATATCGTGGGACCCGTAAATCAACTCTGTGTTTCGAGAAAATCCATCATCCATCGACCATTTTTGAAAAATCGATTTTTTGGTCGATTTGACATGTATGTAACCCTATCTTGAAGAAAACAAACTGTGTGTGAGATACTGACAAGATTTATTTTTCGATTGAAAGGCCCATCAGTGCCATTATGTATGGAATATGACATCATTCAAATGGCCGCCTCAGCTTCGCTTGGTAGCGTGCATCCGAGAAGTCCAATTTTCCATTACTCTGGCGCACAAATCGGGCTGAATCTCGTTGATGGCTTGAGTAATGTTGGCTTTGAGGGTCATCTACATACGCCAGTTGGTTTCCCGGAGTCTCCTCTACTAGCCGGATACTGGGACGCACTCTTGTCGCTCGCCTTAAGGAAGCCCCTTTTCCACTCTCCGCTTTCGAACCCTTCCCTCCAGCGACCAGCAGACATCCCGGTCCTGCGCTTGAGTCGAGAAACGGGGTTTTCCGAAATTGTTTGCCCGACAACGGACCTACTTGCACACCGTTCTTACGAAACGCTACCTCTCCTGCTATTGGACCACCACCATCACCACCGAGACGCATCGTGGATAGTACTGTGGAAGCCCCCGATTTATCTTCCTCAGTCGCGCTTACTCCAACCAGCGCTCAGCATAGTTGTCTAGGCCCTGAGTGTAGATGTAGGTCGAGGGTTTTCCAACCAGCTATTACTGGCAAGTATATTGACGATTCAGCCTCTCTTTTACCAGATACCGCTTCAACTTCTAGCTGTGTTTCCGGTTCTAGCCACATCATGTCCATGCATCCATCCTGCCAACTGCCAGCATGAGATATCCGTCTACTACCAGAACGTCGGTAGTATCAACTGTGATGTCGACGATTTTCGCGCAGCAACCTTGGATCTTTGCTACGACAACATTGTTCTCACGGAGACATCGTTCGATTCACGCACGTTCTCTCGTCAGGTGTTCGGCGTCGATTACGAAGTTTTCCGTTGCGATAGGAATGCTGCTAATAGCCGGAAAGCTAAAGGTGGAGGTGTTTTAGTGGCTGTAAATTCTAGGTTTAAAGCGAGGTTACTAGAAAATAATGCTTGGATATGCTTAGAGCAGGTGTGGACGTCGATCAAACTGGGCGATCGTACCTTGTTTATCTGTGCGGTGTACTTCCTCCCGATACCTTTCCTGTATACGCGAGCGTGACCTCATCGAAACCCATTACCAATCGATTTTCTCTGTTCTGGATACTGCTAAAGCAACCGATGAACCGGCTTCCTCTATCCTGATATGGATACTCTGCCATTCCAACGCTTCGTTCCTTCTTGACAATAACAGCTTGGCCACGCTTTCTGAAATCAATCATGTTATTAACCAGAACAACCGCAGTTTGGATCTTTGTTTTGTAACACCCCAGGATATAGCTCCTTTCTTATGCGAGGCGCCCACTCCTCTGGTGAGACTGGATCGGCGCCACCCGTCGCTACTGGTGACGTTAAGTACTAAGCTGATGCTGATGATGATTTTAATATTTCACCTGCCACCTTTTCCTACGATTTTCACCGACCATGGTAGTATCACCGAGTTACTTTCCAGTTTAGATTGGGACGACTTATAGGACACCGTTGACATTGAGTCCGCCGCTCAAACTATTTCGAATGTCTCGGCATATGTCATTGACAGACACTTTCCGAAAAAGATTCATCATCATAAGACCCATCCACCATGGCATACGTGCGAATTTCGTCTGAAATCCATAAAGAGAACCGCCCTTAGGAAATTCACCGAGCACCTCACACTATCCCTTCAACGTCACTATGTCAGGATCAATCACGAATACAAACGAGTCACGTCCCAGGCAGTTTTGGAAGTTTGTCAACGAACAACGTCATGAAGCTGGTCTGCCGTTGTCTATGATACATAATGGTAACGTGGCCTCATCTACGCAAGATATCTGGCAGCTGTTTTCTGAAAAAAAAATTGCTAGTGTCTTCACGGACGAGAGATTGAGTGACGACCATGCCCGACTGGCTGCCAGTTACGTACCACTCTTTGGCCAAACCATGAGCAGAATCTACATCAATCCCTTGGACAGTTTGTTGTCTCCACTGCTGCACGTTTTTCAACGGTCCGTGGACGTCGGCGTTTTCCCATCCTGTTGGAAGCTAGCGCACATGTTTCCAGTACACAAGAAAGGCAGCAAACAGGACGTTAGCAACTACTGTGGCACCACTTCGCTTAGCACTGTTGCTAAATTGTTCGAACTTGTTGTTATGGAACCGTTAATCGCTCACTGTAAGCCGTATAATAGTATCGACCAGCATGGTTTCATGGCTGGTCGCTCCACTGCCACTAACTTGCTGTGCCATACTTCCTACATCTCTAACAGTATGTCGAATCGTGCTCAGATGGATGTCATTTATAGGGTAGGATGGTGCAAAACGCACCGTTTAAGCAAAATCGTCAATTGCTGGCGTATGGAAGTTAAAATCAAGAAAAAAGTAATGGTGTTTGGTTCATTACCATGTTTTCTACGAAGATCAAGTGATTTCGAACTATAGAACGATGCATTTTCATGATTTTCAAGGTATTTTATAAATTGGTTCCAATATGATAGCGGGGCAAAACGCCTGATTCATGGTGATCTGACGCCTGATGATTATTCCTTTATGTTACATCAGAAATAAGGTCGCAATAGAGTGTTAAGCTGTGATTCATTAAGTAAAACATCTAAAAAAATACGAAAAGTGAATTAGTTCAATTTTTTGCGATATATGCTGTTAAAAGCTTAATTTGAAGTCGACGATTTTAACAACTGTATCATATTTTGCACAAAATGCTATTTTCTAAGGGAATCAGTAGGTCAAAATATGATTTTATGATCAAGAATCAATTGTGAAACCTCTAGTTGAAAACAAACACAATCCGTTACCCGGAAAATGCATCTGAGGAAAAGTTATCGCTGTTTTTCTATAAGTGGGCATTTTACCCCAGGGGTGCATTATGGGCTGTTCTCCCTTACTTACTTATCTGCAGCCTGCTTAAAATCGAGTTTGACGTATGTTTCGCCATCGATCAAAGTGCAGCCCTTGTGTTTCGTCAAAACACGGTCGTACAAGAACCTTGCACGTTTTTGGCCACGGAATTCTGCTTCATGTGCCAGTTCGGATGTTTACTGGCTTTGTGCGACTTGTATCCTTCCCTGGCAAGGATGTTCCACACCGTTTTAAAGTTGGCGTTGTACCTTCTGGCCACATCTCGGATCGAAAGACCGAGGTTGGCTGTAACGCACCTCAACACCTTGCTGCGCAGCTGACGATCCCTGGTTCCAGTTTTTTCGTAGGTCCGCTGATTCTTTTCCACACTCAGGGTTTCCTTGTAGGTTTTGTGCACTCGACAAACTGTTGTTTTCGGCATCTTCAGCACTTTAGCCAGCTTGGAACCGGGCCACTTCGGATTTTACTGGTGTTTGTGCAAAATAATTGACGTTATTTCTGAACACGATCGACTACTTTGATCAAACTTTCACCAGTTGTTCTCTATAGAAGTGTAAACAAACCACTGTCAAAGATTTTCGATTCCCAACACTAGAGGCGTGCTAGCGTCGCGCGAGGGGCGTACCAATTTACTTTTAGTCAACCTTTATGTACATGTAGATATACAAATTCCTTTATTAGAATCCAGGGCACTTCCTGAATGAGGGCGCATGGCTTTGAGGTGGATGGGGTGTGCTTATCTAAGAAATCAGTGAGTAACCAGCTCTAAATTTACCATTACAGTACTGAAATTGACTCCTAAGTAAATATTCATATTGTCTGACATGGAGAATAATAGTGCTTGCCTCACAATACACTAGTATAGACTTATACATCTTTCAAGTATCTACCGCGGCAGTGAACACTAAGCTTAAAGCAGGCGTAAAATCTCATTTGGAACGTAGCTTGAAAAAAACGTTCAAATTATCAGCACTGACTGCGATGGGGAACCCCAGAAATACCATCGGCCAATTCCACAAAGTGTTTCTCTCTCTCTGAAACATAATCACCTGCTCAAAAGTTCCCACTATAAGTCTAACAGCGGTCTAATCAAGCTTTAGTCTCCTTCGAACAACCAACCACGTACGGCGATTATTATAGATCGCAAGATGGCATCGAAACTTTACCTGCTGAGTGCGATGCTAGTGACACTGATCGCAGCAGGTTCAACAGTTGAAGGTAAAAATCATCATATCTGGTCGCTCAGTGGATCCCACACCTAACGTGATTGATTTTAATCTCCAGGAAAAAGAATTTCGCAAATCAGTAAGTTCCTCGGACGATCTGTTACCATTCCTTAGGTTTTTAATGGTGAAAAACTGGTTTTCAACAGAATGTGAGGAGTTCATCCGTGGCACGCAGCAAGAAACCAAAGTGATCGCACTGACACTGAATCCTACGCCTATCGTGTTCAAATCATTCGTTTGTTCTAGATCGGTAGATCTGATCTTGGGTGGAGAGGATGCCAAGGAAGCCGAATTTCCGCATCAAGCTTTGCTCGGCTATAGGACTCAAGATTCGGATGAGTACGAATTTGATTGCGGAGGAACCTTGGTCAGCGAGTGGTATGTTCTGACGGCTGCTCATTGTATGAAGAGAGGCAAACCCAGCTTCGTTCGACTGGGGGAATCAAATTTGAAACAGAGAAGCGCTCAGGAGTTTAACATCGAAATTGATTATATTATCAGACATCCGCAGCATAGGTTTAAGGAATCGTATCACGATATAGCTCTCATCAAATTGATGGAACGTGTATATTTTTCTAATTATGTGCAACCAGCCTGCCTTTGGGACGATTTGAACGACACTATCTCCCCGGTAATTGCTACAGGCTTTGGAGTTACGGAAAGTATGATTTGAATCCTTTTGATACTACCATATAAACATTGAGCAAACGATTTGCAGGTGAGCGAAGGTCGGACAAACTACGCAAGGTGCAGTTGGAAATCATGGATTCCAGTGAGTGCGAAAACATTTTCTGGGGACTTAGAAGTTTTACACGTGGTATTGTGGACTCGCAATTATGCATCGGTAGCTCGCGAAACCAAGGAGACACGTGCCAAGGTGATTCTGGTGGCCCGGTTCAGGTGCTGTTGAATCCAAATGGGTGCATTTATCACGTTTTAGCGATCACCTCGGTTGGTGCTGGGTGTGGCCAAGCTTCAGCTGTTTACACGAAAGTTGCCAGCTATATTGAATGGATCGAGAACATCGTGTGGGCGTAACGGCGGAAAGATTGGAAGTGAACGACGAAGATCATCATATCCTGCTAATTCATCTAAATTGTAAAAATAGACCAAACAACTCCCTTGCTGAGTGGGTTCCCACATTGAATCCTGGTGTTGTCAATAATGTGTTCGCGTGATTTAAAAAAAAAATTATCCATTTTATACATCATTTGAACTTTCTTGACGAAAACGACTAATGGTGGTAATTTATAAGCTTATGGTTTGTAGTCTCTGATGCTGAAAAATGAGTTTTATAATGGAAAATGCAAACTTTTTGGGTCACTGATCAATAAAGAATCCTCAGATGTTCTAATCATTAACGTTAATAGTCCTAAATCCTTTCTAAGCAAAACAATCGCAAATATGATTGATCAGTTAATAACAACGATGGTGATTCAATAAAGATTCAATCAAACATAACTTGTTGTAAACTGTTTCAAATTATATGCACAGACAGTGAAGATTCAATTTTATCACGGTTGAAACAAAATTTTGCATGATTTATTTGAAACGTGATAAAGGGGAATTTACGTATTCTCGGCAACCCAAGTAGCGACCAGCATGTTATAGCCTTTTTCTCTAAAGAATTCACACATGTGCGGTATTGATTTGTTTAAATATTTAACTGTCAGCTGCTCTTTTTCAATTTCAGTCGAAAGAATTGTCAAAAACTATTTTGAAGCGCTTTTACAAAGCTCCAATCTTTTCTAGTGAGAGCGACTATTGTGGGCAATATATTTTTATTCGGCAAACTTTATATTTAAGCTGTGTGTTAAACAGCTGTGTTTTCATCGGCAACTCGAAATCAACAGCATTTTGTAGTGCATGTCATCATTAGCGTAGCTACAAAATTTATCTGGAGGGGGCCTAGGAAGGGCCTGTTGTATTTATTTTTTTATTTTGCTAAACTACGGTATAAACTCGCGAAGATGCTATTCAATGGAATTGCGTCAAGGTAACTTGTCTTTGGTTATTTTTTCTGTGACATTGAGTCTTACTGAAGGGGTATTCAACTCTGCAAACCTTAATCTGTGCCAAGAGTGTTGGCAGTGCCGAAAGCTGTGCCAAACGTTGTGCCGATCATTCCGAAATAGGCCGAAGTGTATAAATCAAAGCGTCAATATCCCATGAGTTTGGCAACCCTGAAGTTAGACTTTTGTGATTGTGTTTACTTTTTCAATTTCTTTAATTCGTGACCATGGTTCATGGCAAATATTAAGCTTCATTCTCATTAGAATCAGAGCGAATTGGGCAGTGGAAGAGGAACTGGAAGCAATACCCGTCCACAAGAAACGGACGGTGGACGAAATTTTCACCAGCTGCCAGTAAAATGCTCCCCGATAAAATCAAACCCAGAAACGGACGAAGGTTCACTTCCACCCTAGAAACAACATCCTCGAAACAATTCTGATCGACTCAGAACCACGCAATCTCGAAGACATCACCAAGCCTATCGTATCGCAAATTATGATGTCTCCTACCATCACCCATCCTTTGCAGATGTGATACCTTCCACATGGTACCACCAATCAAAACCAATGGCCAATGTTTACCAGTGAAAACTATCAATGTCCCTCCACTTCATATCTGTCATACCTCGGAAATGGTGCACGATCCAGATAAACTTCGCATCTGCAGTTCAACTGTACCCTGTGGTTGTTGTTGTTCATCTGCACGCCCATGGAATTGTAACGGTAGACATTTTCGTTAGATTATATTTTTGTTACTTGTTCTTATTTATTTTCAAATATCCATTCTTAAATTAATCGTCGTTCAATTTGTAATATTAACTTAAATGGACTGAAAGTAAGCTAAAAGAAACGAATTGTAGTTTGCAACTTGTATGCAAGTCAGTTGCCTACGCGTAAAGAGGTTAGCGAAACGTATTGCTTACGTAGCTTCTCCGAAGAGTTTCACCATTCGTATTTTTCGTTACTCGGATAGAGAAAACCGAATGGGATAGTTCTGAGAGTTGTTAGCAGTAGAAGGGAACAAGATAGACAGACCGAGTTCGATTGAAGAGGGAAAGAGATACTTCATTTGATCTCTCACGATCGTAACTAATGAAATCCGTTGAACTTCCATTTCCGGTAATCATGCCTTGGGACTTTTCTGAGGAAATTCAGTAATCGCCTCTTTCACTTTGATCCTGACTGTGATAGAAGAAGGGCGCGATTCTGTAGTTTTTTCCGCGGTGTGATTGGTTAGTAGTAGAAAACGTGAAGTGTCCTCAGATGTATTTTAATCGATTCTATGTTCCCCGTATAGGCTAAAGCTAGATAGCATTATAGTGTTGTAATTGTTGTGCGAGAGTTGTGTAAGCGTTCCAGATAACGGCAAGGTAAAACCAATTTACGAAATTTGTGTGTGCCGATAATAGGTTAATTGTGTCGTTTGCACGGTCAACGACTTTCCGCGTGTTCGCTTTCTATAGGATTCAACAGCCAACAAAGCGACCGTTGATCAATAGCGCTGCCTCGCACCGCGGCTTTGCTTATTGTCGCCAACCCTTACCACGCTCGGGTATCAATGCTTCCCGGTTGCCTATCCGAAGGGAGTTGCCTACGTTACCAAGGCACTTCGGCTAACGTCCAGCAAGCCACCATCCGCTGACTGAGTTCGGCAACTAAGAAACTTCAAGCGCAGTAGGAGGACATCAGCCGTCGTTGCAACGACGGCATCGGTTGGGCGAAAGCCCGTAAAGCTCGCCAACGTAAGCTTCAAATCCTGTAAGTAGCGAACCCACACTTGCATGCAAGGCCGTTAGCACGGACACAGAATGATAGCGCGCTAGGCGAATAGTCCATCGACCGCACTAGTCAGATAGAAAGATAGAGGGGAACAGTAGTTAGGCCGACCAGAACCAAGATTGTAGATATGTGAATAAAAAACCCTATAGATAAACTAAATAAAAGTAGAATGTTCACTCCCAAAATAAATCAGTGTTCAGTGTTAGAAAGTTTTGATTGAGAGAGTCTGAAGGTTATTTCACGTTTCGTTCATCATGTTTAGTCTTTTTCCGTTGAATTTGTTGTGTTACTCGTCTTCTAAATCAAGCTCGAGTTGATGGGTCAGAGGGATTGCTTCCTGTGATGATACCCCTGTTCGGATTGGTTTTCGGGATTGGAAGTTTTTCGGACTCGGTAGTTAGGATCTTGGGTTTTCGGTGGGTATGCTCTCTCCTTTCTTGAGTCACTCGGCTCAGTTGGTCTTGTTCCCGACACTGTTGACGAATTTGAGAACTGACTCATTTGGCCAGTATCTAGCCGGGCATCGTGAAACACGACAGGTGGTCCTTTTCGGAGGTGGCGCTTAAGCCATCCGTTTATGAAACCTATCGGGAACAAACAACAGCACCGTAGCTGCCTCGGGGCCGCTACAGGATCTTGCCAAACAGCAAGTCGTCATGCGTCATGCACTTTCGAAATTGACCAAGGCCTTATAATTGATTGATTGGTAGGCCACCCATCGCACGGGGTCCTTTAGTGAACAGAAGAGTGAAGATTAGATCGTTGATGATGGGGTGTTTCGCTAAGGCAATCGTCCAGATCTGATGGAATATTTGGAGTTAATACGCATAAACATCCCCCAATAAGTACTGGGATTTGTATGAACATCCCTATAATGTCCTGTGGATTTCCCATCGTAGTCCAAACTGGCAAGGATACCTAAGGAAAACGTAGGAGTAAACGATAAAATGTTCATCCCGGAAGACCCTTGGCAAGACTGGGATTCAAACCTGGCCGAAATACAAAACCCATCACCCTATGATGCGGTTTTCTTTTCTTTATCGTTCGTTCTGCATAGCAACCTTGTAAAACAAAACAAATATCCTCCGCAGCTGGCACAATATTGTCGTCGTTCAAATAATTGTTGCCCATTCAGTTCGCCGATTGTATTTCGCACCGTACCGTCGTATTGGACGATCTTACAGGCATTTGACTAACCGTTGCTGGAGGGAACCCATTTTGGCCATCTTGACTGTTGTATCGACCCTCTAGAACGACCATGGTGTGGAAGAACTCTGTTGGCGTGAAGCTGGACGAAACCACGAGCCACTGGAATTTTCGCTACGAATCGGATGAGATAAACTTAGTTTCATGGTGCAGACAGGTGCAGGCAATACTCACAGCATTTTTTCTTGGAATCCGAGCCCAATGTGAAGCCCAATGCAGTAAACAAAGAAGTCAACCTTAGCAACGGTTGGCAAAACATCAACTCTCGACAGTGATGCCGATTTATATGATGTTGATTGTATCCTACTTGTCAACGTTTGTCCTAAAGTGCCGAATAGTGTGCCATGCTGTGTTTCAGCACAGTGCGCAGATTTGATTACCCCTTGGACTAACTAATATTTTAATGGTGCAACAATAGATTTTAATCATAACAACGATTGGGACCTCGATTGTAGAAGCCTTAAAAGCTTACTGATTTTGAACAAGCAATGATCGTTTGTTCATACTTTCTGTAATGAAATCACATATCGCCCGGATATCATAAATATAAGCATATCAATCTTAAGAAAATTCTCAGTATAGGTAATTCCATGAATTTTGTAACTACCTTTTTTTAAGATTTTGAATATTTCATCATCAATTAAGTCTCAGACATGAACTTAGATCAATTGTCATAATTCTAAGACAAAGATAAAATTGCAAGATCCTTCCTAGACATTAATTTCATAAAAATTCTAGTACATGAATATTAAAAACAAATCAAATAAGAATTGTTATATTTATAATATGTTTAACCTAAACAAAAGCTTCATAAAAACTCCATAAATATGCGTGAACAAAAATTGGACGAAATTTCGTTCAAAATAAATTTTAGGCAATAAAAAAAAAGTTTTGACAAAGACTTAGACATGCTACAAATCTCCTGGACTTAAAAAATCCTAATTCAAGATCTTGGGAAACTTACCTAGATTCTGAGACTTGCAGCGTTTTTCGAGAGGAAAATTCTTCGAGATAAGAAAGTAAGAAAAAATTAAGATTTAAAAAAATCTTAATCGGAAAATCTTGACATTTAACAAAAATGATGAAAAATCAGGTTATAATTTAATTTAATCAGGTTTTTAAGATACCGGATTTCAAA